TTTTCCCAACTCTTTTTCCAATTTTTCCCTTTTCTCCTTCAACATACGCCCTTTCCTGTGGATCCATTTCCCATTCCCTGGAACCCAAACGCCACGAACATAAACATAAACAAACGCAGCCAGAAGTCGACGGTTTCTTGGCCGGGTGCTGCCAAGATTTTTGGCATCATCGTTGGCAACGCATCCTGTGGAATGCGCATCGCGTGTCGGACGCGTGGATTGGGGCGTTGGCAAACGCTTTTTCTTCGGCGGGGTGGCCCCTCTAACTTGGCACTCTCATTATGATTTTAATTGCTGACGCACATTTTTGACGAGTTGCCCAGTTCGTCGCTACGTCACCGATTGTTGTTGAATTGGCCAAAGAATTCTTGGCCAGACACCAGGCAGCAGTTGCCAACAGGTGTCCAATTATCATTATGATTGTGTTTATCACCCACCGACACACAAACACACACACACACACGAATAAAACAAAATAATGACGTTTGATTGGCCTTCAGCAAGGCCGTTTGTCGTTGGCCAAATGTCAACGTCTTGTAAAATTTATTGGCCAATATTCAAGCAATTTTTTTTTCTCAGTTCATCGCTTTTTTTTTGGTTTTTGGCAGCCAGTTAATATTTGCAGCCTGCCAATTTCTCGATTACGATTTTCGAGTGTTTGTTTTTATTGTCCCTGCTGTTTTGATTGACTTTCAGTTTTCATCTGATTTCATAGCGATGTCAACGCCTTTAAAAGAAGGTGCTCTTGTTTTCTAAGATTTTCACTGCAGTTAATTAAAATAAACAAAGAATGTGCAACCATTTTTGCTAGACATATACACAAAGCTAAATGTTGTTTCAAAATATACACAAAAAATAAATAACAATTTGGCATTCTTTCTTCTTTTTTTTTATATACAAAGCTGTGTTTAAAATAATCATTCTATAAGTACTAAGAACGATTTACCATAATTTATATATTGTTTTTAAACAAATTCTTAGAAAATCTTGTGACCTAGGTAAATTAATGAATATGAAATTGTTACGCAAGTGGAATAAAGTAATTGTTAATAATGTAATAATCAAGAGGGTACTGCTTCAAAAAGTTAAAATTATTACACAACAACCTTCCTTTCTTACCCCCAAATTAACCCAATTAAAAACCTGCACATTCGGCAAATAAACTGCAGGCTAACTGCATCTCAAGGTTCATTTGTTTATCATACAACACACACGCCGACGAGCAAATTAGGAAAATTCTAATTAAAGCTAAGAAAAACTAACACTAATTACAATTTGTGCCGTCGCCCTATAGAAACAGGCAAAAACACAGACAGATGGAAACCAAAAAAAAAAAATACATTTCGAAACTGAAATAGATTAAAACGAAATATACAACCAGATGCATCTGTATCCGTGGCCGAATCAGAATCTGTATCTGTATCTCTGCCAGTACAAAAGTATTAGTTGTGTCCACGAAAATAGAAGCTGCGGCGACGCTTTCAACGCGTCTTTGCCCGCGTCAATTGCGCGTCATCGCAACTCAAAGATCCAAGAACACATAGAGAGCCAGTCTGAATACTATTTATATGTGGTATATAACACAGTCGTTGGAACCCCCTTCCGCCTCCTTTTTATTTATTTCTTTTTGGGGCGGTACATAAGGGCAGGCGACAGTTCTGCGCAATTTTCTTGGGCTTTTCTCTTTCGGTCTTGACGTTTTTATCGCTTTTCTGCGCCTTTCGCCTTCGGCTTCGATCTTCGCCGGCCCGTCCGTCAAGTGTGTCCGAAAATAGCAAGGTAAATGAAAAACACAACACGGCAAAACGAGGCAAAAAAAAAAACAAAAAAAAGAATCAACGTTTAAGCAACCAAAATGCCGAATTTCGAATTTCTGGCTTCTAGAAAAAATAAATACGCGATTTTCTCCCTCTGAAAATCATTGAAAAACAGCACGAATATATAAAGATCAGAAACAACAAGAACACCCAGAAATAAGAAAAATAGAAGACTGCGAAATTTGCTTAAAACGTCAAAGACTTTTTAGACCCATAATTCACATAGAAATTTTCTTTATTAATTCGTTCCGTCTGCTTTCTTTAATCAAGATTTTCCTCAAGAGGCACTGTATTTAATATTAAAAAGTATATTATTATTGTAGATTTCCCAGAATTTTATAGTCATTCTTCTAGTCAGACGTTTGTAAAATTTAAATTAATATAATAAACTAAGTTATAAAGTTATAAATGGGTTCTAAGATTAAGCTAAGTGTATAAGAGCAAATGTGATGAGATCATTGAAATGCCTTTTACATACCTTCAGAAATATTATTTAAATGTTCTATATTAGAATTTTAATTTTTAATTACTCTAAATATTTAAGATCCATTTCATTTTGTTCTGGTTTTCTTTAATTGGTTTTCTCGAAACTAGGAAATAAGTGAATTAACTAAGTGACTATTTAACTATTTGTTTTCTTTTCTAAAAGTTCGCGATTTGCAACGCTTATATAAGACCACATCAAAGCCATCACTCATTTGACACTTTCAGAATTTCCGCCCATGTCCAAGAGTGAATAATGGATGGGGAAGGCATACTCGCATAAGTAAAAATAACCGCAAAGGTTATTTATCATAATTTGCCAATGATTGTCGAGTCTGAGCTCATAAATTAACCAGGCATCTGTGTCGCAGGCAATTAAAAGCAAGTGTTACGCCCAGCATCCTTTCGGTTTGATTTTATCTAAGGGAATATTTCTGGACTTGCCTTGGCCATAATTCACGTAATTTAAACAAGTGCGTCTGAAATTAGAGGCATGGCACTGGAATGAATTTTATTTGGGACTAGCAGTAATTGGCAGCTGTTCAATAACACAGTTCCTGACCTAAGCCAATGCGAAAACTCTCTCGAAGTCGTTCAGCCGGGATAAAAATAATGAGGGTGCTGAGATAGACACTCATTCCGGCAAACGATCGGAGCAGACGGCGTGTCTGCCGCGCGTCTTGGAAACTTATTGGCAAAACTCCATGATCATAAATTATGTCGGCTTCATTTGTTTACGCATCGGCCGGCAGGTGGCGCTTTAATTACATGACAGCATCGGCATGGGGGATTCCCCCGCAGCAAAATCTCATCGAGCCGCTTGCCAAGATTCTGCATTACGCAATAAAGTTCATTGCCATCCCGCCCGTCTTTCAGATGCTTTCTTTCTTTCCCATCATTTTTCCCACCAGTTTTTTTTTTTTTTTTTTTAATTTTTTTTTTTTTTTTTTGGAAGCGAGCGTGAGAAAAATTCTAGGCAAGATTTTGGCAAGCTACCATCTTGGCAGAGGCCCATTACCCATTCCACTGCTGAGCAGCACCATCAACACACCACCACGGTGGCACAGTGGCCCAGGTCTAGAAAAATTCTAGATAAGAATAGATAGGCGGAATAAATAAGGTTTGGGATAGCCGGCATCGAAATGAGATGTCAAAAAGCGATATTTACATTAATAAAAGTCTTGAAAATTCTAATTCTTTGAAAATTCTAACCCATTTTAATTTATCATTATAACAGTATTGTAATGTTACCAAAACAAAAATGTAATATGATCATTTTAAATATTTTAAAGCTAAGACAAGCTATTAGCTAAGGATTGTACAATATTATTATTTATAAAATGAGATTAGTTTAAATGACCAAGAATAAAATATTAATAATTTTTTAAACTTTATCACATATAGTTTGATTAAAAACCTAACTTAATAAAAATAGAAGTTGTTTCATGACGATAAAAGGATGTTATCTAACTCCTAGTGAATTAAGAATTCAATATTTATATCCTAAAAATATCAATGCTTAAAGTTTCAATATTTACCTCAGTAAAACACATTATGTTGATAATCATATAAGAGAAAGAAACTATTTTTGGCAACTACAACTTATCTAACTCGTTGGTAAATTCCCAAAAATGTTTCTAGATAAAATCTAAATCCCTTTCCATTCAGAAAGTTATTACGTAACCGTCTTTTGGCAGCCAAAACTAATGTAAATCCCTTTCCACCACTCTCGTTGCAGCAGCTGAAGGCCCAAAGGAAGCCTCGTTGGCCAATTGAGGAGGAGAGACCCAGAAAGTCGAGCCGATTTTCCGCTGCAACCGCCGAAGGTCTGACCAACCAATGGCAACGCACGGCGGCGACGAAGCCCGGCCGAAAGGGGGAGTCCCCGGGAAATGGGGGGGAAACTAGCTGCCCTGCAATGCATTTCTTTTGGCAACGTGTCAAGCGGCCCCTCACACACACACTCACACACAGCAAACAGCAAGGATACTCTGCCCCGCTCACATGCGCATCGAGTGGTATACGTAATATATCAAGTATACGCCTGTTGGCCGGGCAAACAGTCCCCAGTGTGTGTGTGTGTGTGTGCGTGTCTGTGAGTGGGCATAAACGGAGTGCTGCCAACTGCATTGCCGGGCCGCCACCGACTTCAACCCCCGACCCGAGGACACCACCCTCCCCCAGTCAGGAGGCCAACGACGAGTCCTTTGCAAGCAGCGCATTGGCTGCAGGACGACCGGCGACAGGACGACCAATCACCAATCACATCGGGGCTTGTGCGCACTATCCCGGCCGTACGAAGGACGAAAGGCACGGCATCCAGGACCTCAGCCGGAGACCCCAGGCCGATTGCCACTTCTAGTAAACATTATGCCACCAGTCTCCTATATACTTTAGTTCTCTAGTCATAAGTCACATGCCCAAGCCATTGCCCCCGGAACAACAACCAAGCGGGGGCATGACACATTAGTCTATCGATAGAGTTCTGAGTTTCAAGCAGAAGCTAGACGAAGATGATTTTAAGAATGCATAAGAGAAAAAGGAATAAAAACTGTAAAGCTTCAGAGCGGCACAACAAAAGCGTTCGTTGTTTTTATTTCAACAATGAAATTATTTTCCATTTACAGATTGCTAAAGACTACTTCTGGAGTTATTATAAAAAACCATCTATTAATGTATACTTTTCTTAGAATACTGGCACACCGATAGTTTACAAAATATAATTTAAAAATTTATTTCACTGCTTATCTTTGAGAAATTCTGCTATTAATGGCTTAGTATTAAAGTAGTCAAGTAGTTGAATTATAAATCCCTGAAGTAATACTGGTGATACAATTAGTGTTATAACTTTCTAATGCCAAGAATGCCGTATCCAAAAAAAAATTTCTCCACTTGCTTTTAAATGTCCTTCGAGTGGAGGAAATTCCGGGCATTCTCATTGCGCCACCTCAAGTGCTTGATAATTAGATAGCTTTGGACAAGGAAGATGGCTACATTGGCGCCCAGATAGTTGTAGTTCTTTGGTGTTATAACCACTGCGTAGCGGGTCCAAATCAGACACGTTATTGCCAAGGAGCCAGACTGGTTGAGCGAGATGGACGAAGCTGGACGGTTGATCGTATCGCTAAGTCCTGCCACCGCAAGGGTCTAAAAATAGGGAGCAAAAAAAACTTTTAAGAAAAAATCACTTTTTAAACGATTATATTGTTGACCATGTTGCTATGTTGTTTTTTTAACATTTTAAACATTATGCTTTTAAAAACGGAAGAACCAAAGACAGTCAAAAAATTATATATTGAATTCGACAAATTTCAGAATGAATTTACAAACATGAAACAATCATGATATATTCTTAAGCATCTCTTACCCATTTAAACGCCGGCGCCCAAAAAAAAACCGTGCGGGGACCTTCACAAAATAAATGATACATTATTCAAAGAAATTTGAAATAATAACTTACCTACTGGCGACTGCCAAACTGGCAGTAATAAATCTGGGACTACCTTATCTACTGCACTAATTATGCCATTATACAGCTTCGATAAAGCCCCAGGGCCTTTAGGCATTCTCTTAAAAAGCAAGAATTAAAAAAAAAGGCTAAAAAATATGAAAATTTTTAGGTGAAAGGAAAATCTTGGTGAACTTACATAGATTAACAATTTGAAATGGCCAAGCCTTAAAATTGCAATATATTTTTACATTTGGTAAAATTTTGCGATTACAGCATTATTAATATGTTTTAGTTTTTAAAGCAAAAATAGGGGCACACATTTATTTAAAAACATATATGAATTTGTTTAATAAGTTTTTACTTAAAATGCGCGCTTTCTAGAGACAACAGCAGACTATTGATATATCGATAACAGCGATAACTGCTTCAAAAAGTATGGTCACCTTATTATAGAAACAGCTGTGGCTAAAACAAATACAAATTTGCAAGCAGATTGGTTTTGTCATACTCTATGGTTTTGTCGAATAATAAATAATAATTACAATGGATCGGTATAAAAGAGAACGTTCACCACAAAGAGAGAGAAGAAGGGAACGCTCACCATATAGAGAAAGAAGAAAAGAACGCTCGCCGCACAGGGAAAACAGAAGAGAGAGGAGCCATGTCCTGACATACAAACAACTGCAGAAAATGCCGCTGAATCTGCGTAAGAAGGCGGTACGAGAAGCCCGCAATCGCCAAGAGAAAATCCAGGGAAAACGTAAGAAGCGCAAAAGGAATCCCCAGGATGTTCCCACTGCCCGTCGTCTGCGCAACGACTTCGATCGATCCGAGCACAATGCCATGCTGGCCAGCACTGCCCAGGAACTGCGACGAATTCTGCAGGATTTTGATACACTCTCGGACATTCCCCACGACATAACACCCACGGAGCTGCGGGGGGAGGTAAGAGGATCCCATGATAAAGTCGTTTGAATATAGACAGAAATATATAAGATCTACAAGTTAAAAAATTATCCAATATTAATCTTTTAAACTGCACTTATGATGATCCTATAGATCGCATATCATGATCCTATAAGGAAGCATTTAGATCATCATCATCATAAGTTTTAAAATTGTACCAAAATAAGTCATATTTCGTTTGGCATTTCCTTAAAACATTTACAAACATTCCTCATAAATTTATATATCATACCAATTATAATTTGGTTAATGCAAGATTGGTATCTTTAAGTTTCACAACTTTTCTCGTCTGTTTCTTTTCTTTTATATTTAAAAATAGTCTAGACTTTGTGATTTGAACAGTAAACTTTCCCAATTAACTTATAAATTAGTTGCATACTTAAGGATTGTATTGCTTCTTGCCTTAAGATTAATAGTACAACTTCATCATTTTAATTTGTTTTTTTTTTATTTACCTATACCGGGGAAATTAAATCTCAAATCACAGAATTGTGAAATTATTAGTGCTATAATTTTCCAAACACAAAAATACCGGATTTATTAAATGCCTCCGCTTTCTATCAGTCATCTTTCAAATGGATTGAAATTGTATTATGATCAAAGACCGCATCCCGGCCTTTCTGATTGCGCCATCGCAGGTGCTCTATAACTAGGTAGCCTTGGATGAGAAATATGGCTACATTGACGGACAAAAGACTGTAGTTCTTGGGTGTTATAACCATTGAGTATCGGGACCAAATCAAACACGTAGTTGCCAACGAGGCGCACTGATTGAGCGAGATTGTCGAAGGAGGACGATTTATCGTGTCGCTCAGGCCTGCCAATACCAGACTCTGAAAATAAGAAGTATTACCAAAAAATGTTATAAAAAATCAGAAACAACATTTTTTTATTTTTTTTGTTTTTACTATTGATCATTCTGTTTGAGATTGAGTTTTTAAAAAAGATAAGATAAGATTATCTTACCCATTTAAACATCGGCGCCCAAAAGAAAACAGTACGGGGACCTAAAAAAAAAAAACATTGCATTGATTTAAGGAAATGGGAAATAACAACTCACCTGCTGGCGACTGCCAAAAAGGCTGCATTGCAGTTGGAACAATTTTATCTACTGCACTAATGGTGGCATTATACAACTTCGACAAAGGTCCTGTCCCTTTAGACATTTTTTAGAAAACAAAGAATTTTGATTAACAAATCTAAAGGTTTTGAAGAAAGGAACAAATTTAAAGGTGAAAGAGAAGCCCTGGTGAACTCAGAGAATACAATTTTGAAATGGGGTAAGCCTTTTATATAAACAAAAAAATATATTATATTTCAATGCAAAGTGGGCTCACAAATGAAAAGACATTACAAAAATTTAAAAAAAAAATGTTCTCTTGGTTACTTTAACTTTTAATAAATCAACAAAAATGTTCCTCTACGTCATTCAAAGCATCTTAATCTGCATAATAAAAGCATGGCTGCAAAATTTGATTACTTTTTAGGTTCTCAAAGATTGGAGTGCTAATGCTGATTGACAAAACTAGATCAAACCACATAACCATTTACGCTTCCAATCCCCCAGTACCGGTTGCAATTAGCACATTGAGGTGTTCGTTCTTGCAATGCTTTCGTCACCGATATTGGCCACTGACTACTGACCTACTGCCGAACACTTTAAGTGCTAATTGATGGACATTTATTATGAAGAACGCGGTTTCATTGCATACTGGCTGTACTGACGTATATATTTTATAATTTCAGATAGCCATCGCCGAGGGAAAGGCCACAACGATCCATGTGCAGCGAGATGGACTCAGCACCCTCAATGTGGTGGTAGGTGTATTCCATTGATTTGATTTAAAACGCAGCTGTTTGCACTTGCTTTCAGTGGGCAATTAGCCTCTCGTTCTGTGACCAAAAGTAATCTAATAAATCGACAGGGAAAGTGGGTCAGCGTTTATATGCGAGCATTCATTAAATTTTCGCTTAGCCTGTTTTCTACTTATTCTAGAAATGTTCAATACATATTAAATTTCAGGACTTCAATACGTACAATTCCATTTTCCAAGCCTTTTTATAAGCCATCACCTAATTTCGAAAGAAAAGCAAAGTTAATAATATGTTATTACTTAAACTAGTGAATAAATTAAATGTGTAACAACTTATCCGTTAATGTAAAAGTTTCCATTTATTTAAATAAATTTAAAACTGTTCAATTTTCTTTTATTTTTAAAAAAAGGACTTACTTAAAATATAGTTATTTCTTTAAGTTAGTTCATCTTTAAAATTCTTCAATACGTATTGTGTTGACAATTCAATATCCTTCAATACTTTTTATGAGACATCAACAAATTTCGTCAGAACAGCAAACTAAATAGTAAAATACTTAAAATGGTTTAATTCAATGTGTAGATAATAGTTTACTTATTCAAATTTTTTTAACTTGTTTTTTATTTTCTAGAGACGGCTTACTTAAAATCTCTTTAAGTGGCATAGAGCTTAAGAGATTTCTGTAACTCTTATCCTTGTAGCTGTGTGCTGTGTTAGAATTAAGCTTAAACATCTTTCTCTTATAGTTCTCTGACCAACTGAATATCGTTTGCTTTCTTGCAGCTCCACCAGCGCGAGCCGACGATCGCACAGCTGAAGAGGGCAATTGCTTTGATCTCGCGCGCCCAACACAAGCGCAGCCAACGCGAGCGGTACGAAGAGCGTCTTCGGCGTCGGGGAATCGCCGCCGACGACGTCGACGACTCCGACGATCGACAACCAGTTGTGGTGGCGGTGGCGGTGGCCAGCTCCACCGGCGAGTTAGTTCACTCCGCTCAGCGCAACGGGCATGATCATCGCGCGTTCGTCTCGTGGCGATTTCTATGGCGCTGTTTTGGACTGCTAAACGTGGACACAAATCAGCCGATCGACGACCGACGCTCCGGCGGCAGGGCCACCTTGAAGGAGCTGGGAATTGAGAACGCCGCCACTTTGAAATTTGTCCACCGCGTCAAGTATTTCGGGCGCCAGCGACAGCGTTGAAGTGAACCAAAAAAACCAATGATAGTGTCTCTAACAATCGTCAAACATTCGATTCGAAAGTCGGGCAGCAAATCGCGGTCAATATGGATCAACTGGTTTGGCTTTCGTTTTGCATTTCACTTGGATTATTGCTCCTGGAACTGCCCAGTTTCACCGCCGGCCTCCCGTTCGAGGATGGCAACAATAACAACGTCAAGATCACCCGCCGCAGCTTGGAGCTGACCCAAACCATCAACATTCAGCGGCAGGAGTACCTGCAGCGGCAATGCGAACTCCTGGGGGAGCACACCCAAACGCTGGCGGATCTCAGCGAGCTGCAGATGGACCACATGATCGTGGACAGGGAGCACAAGCTGCTCTACTGCTATGTGCCCAAGGTACGGGTGAATCAGCGGGGCAGGAAAATTGTTTCAAATGCTGGCTCGGCAAATTAAAGACCGAGACAGGTATATTTTCGTATTTTCGTATAAATCGACCCATTCAGCATTGCATTTTGATTAGTGCTTGTTTCGGAATAAATTTGCTGTCCATTTAATTTTTAAGAGAATTAGGCAAGTTTGTAAACTATAAGATTGCTTCAATCAGCTTCCTTCTTAAATAAATCTCTAATTAAAATATTTAGCAGAGACTTAAACTAAATCGGAACTCAAGCATCAGAAACCGAAAGCTAATTCGCTGCTGTTATATTTTCTTTGCGGTTGCCATGTGCTGTCCAAAAAAGCAAAAAAACAACGTCACATCAGTCAAAAATCGGCATCTGTGCCTCAGTTTTGAATCGGTCTGTGCTTTGTTTATAGAAACTTGTTTTTTTTCTTTGCCGCATTTGAAGCACATGCTAGGCTTCCGTTAACCTTGCGGCTTGTGGCATGGGCAGAAATGACATCTAATGGAATGTTTATTTGGCCCACAATTTGAATCAAAAGTAGTGAGATACCAATGCAGACAGTCCTCCAAATAATCAGAATTAGCGCGACTTACTTGAGTAGATTTATTACGAGTGCATTTCATTGCTAAGCTTGCGCCACTTCTGGCTTATCGAAAGGGGAATAAATTCTCGTGTCAGATTTATATATGTGCATACAATATTGTGCTGATTTCACGCGATTTAACGATCAATTACAGCGACAACAATTCCACTACGAGTTGCAATAATGCTAATGCCTTTGCCAAATGGGCGGCAATTATAGGCCACTTATTTTATAAGTCGTTGCCAATTGATTTGCATTTGCCAGTCATTTTCTAGGTTCACAAGTCAAAGACCAGTGTCTTAAGCCATCTGCGTTTGATTTCAATCTCTTAAGTTGACTTCAATTGATAAGCGTAATTAATAAACATATTTTTAGGTAGAATTAGAGATTATACATTAAGGTCATCCTATGACGCGCATAGCAAGAGACAGAGATAATCAACTTCACAGAAGCCCCCTACTGATTTTATTAATTGGATTAGGAAATTAAGTTTTGAGAAACAATGTTATAGGAAATGGGTTCTACGCTTTTCTGTTATCAGCTATTTGGAAAACATCAAACCCGAACTATAAGATTAGATTGCCCATTGCCGGTCTTTCAGGTGTTTGAAGTGTGTTGGTTGAGGTGTGACATGTGTGGTACCGAAATAGCTGAGTGCTTCATGTGGCCATTGCCCTTTGAACCTCTGCTGCAGCCAATCAATTTTGGAAATCTTTTTATTTTGCATATCTCAAGGAAATTTAGTTTTTATATAAATAGAAAAATTAATTATATTTTCAAATATGTTAAAATATAAAGCTCTCGTTGTTGCTTCTAGACTAAGCTTTGACTCAACTTATCTCGTCTCGGAGTCAATTATATATAGAGATTGTTAGGCATACAATGCCATTGAAGTATTCCACTTGCCAGGGGGGCGTGTCTGTGGAACATGCCACCTGAACACCTCGACACATGTTATCTGGGCATTTCTTCAATGACTATAATGTTTATCAACGGACAGAAGTGCGACTGGTTTCGATTTCAACATGCAGGAGATTTCAATTGCCGGTTTCGTATTCTCATTTGCCACTTGTTGAGTGGCTAGTTTTACATGTTCCCAGCTCGTTCTTCCATGAAGTCGTAAATTGTTTATGTTTACCCTTGGCCAATAGACCTCCCTCTCCCCGCCCACCACCAGCTCCTCCCCCTTCGCCCCATTAAGTGGGGGCTCGACACTCTGGTCGGAAATTATATGAGACCATCGCGTGTTGCTTTAATGGCCATAAAGAAATTGCGTTACGTTAAACTTGCTGCGTTTATGGCTGCTTACGTATCGAGAGGGCTTGCCAACATAACACTGACCTTTGAACCGAACATATACAAGTTATCGACAAAATAACGATTTCAGAATTCTAATACTTTAAAACAGACATTAACCATACCATTAACCAAGGTACCCTCTCTTAATTAAGTTACCAAATTTATTTTAGTTGAACTTCTTTTGCAAAAAGAAAAGGTGCTAGGTGATCAAAGACTTAAACATATAAACTAAGACTGACATTGAACAAACATTTTACTTTAGTTGGCATATTGACACATCCTTAAGTATTGAAAGTTGTTTAAACATTCCAAAGTAGACATTCACTCTTCGCGCTTCTCTTTCTCTTGTTTAAAAACGAGAAAAACTGGAAAGGAAATGTAAGTAAAGTATTTAAAAATATCACAAAATTTCCACTGATGTGAAAGATTGGAGAGCTGATTTTTATTTGTTTACAAAACATTTAATCCATTTCACTTTAGACCGACATTTTGACATATCCTAACCTTGCCGCTGAACTCACGGTGTATTTCTGTATATTGCCTCACATTTTAACCTTATACACTTCTTAACGTAGATTTACTGCATATGAAACTGTTTGTTTTTGTAATGTGAAATGTTTTTGCGGTGTTTAATTGGGCTCGACATTGCCCGCCCAACCGAATGTTTATATAAGTATAGTATATTCGGGCACGTATTTATGTGCATAGTTTTCCCCTGTAGTTTCTGTTGTGTCTAGTGTTCGTTAGTTGACTTAAACAACTTGACTTGTTGCCCAATGCGTCCGAGTAGGGAAACCCATCCGGCCATCTCTCTTGGCGAAAATTATAATTTATTGCACTTAGCAATTAAAGCACATTTAAGGCACCGAAGTTGTGGAGAAGATTTCATTTGGCGATTAACACTCGACAAGTCGCAAAAAATGCAATAAAAACGAGATTTTTATTTTGGGGTCACTTGTTTCTCGTTACTGTAAATTTAATTTTTTTTGTAATTATAGCTTTCGATATTCCTTTTATAGGTATTTCGTATAGAATTGACCTGGCGACTTTTTTCTTGGCTAATAGACAGTTATTATAAAAAAAACCAATTAATAAACCGTTCTAATGACTATTAATAATTATGGAATAGTTTTGAAATGAGTGTACAGGATGACACCTGCAGATAAATTTATCAATTCATTATCTACCCGAACCACTCATGTACACCTCTATGGAAAAAAAGGTTGATGTGTTCCTGCTTATCGGCGATTCCCAATAATTATGTTTGATTATGAAATGTTCAAGAAATAGGTGATTCACCCAACAGTCCAAAAATCATTCATTCTTTTCACAAACACTTAGACTTCTGGCTAAAATACTTTATAATGTAAACGAAATAGAACTAATTTTCTTGTTTATTTGGTTTAATTAGCAGAACAGCATTGCTCAACTAAACAAATTGATTGTTGTTTCTTTATTTCCCAGGTTGCCTGCACGAACTGGAAACGGGTGCTGATGATGCTCACAGACAAGTGGCACAACGGAACCGATCCTCTGCAGATTCCGGGCAGCTTAGCTCACTCGGTGGGTATGTTTACCAAGCTGTACGATTTAACCGAAGCGGAGCAGCAGCAGGTTCTCAGTGAGGAGTATACGCGATTTATCCTGGTGCGACATCCCTTCGAGCGGCTACTGTCCGCCTATAGAAATAAGTTGGAGGGTGATTCTCCCAGTGCCCGGTACTTCCAGTCGCGAGTGGGACGTCAGATTGTTAAGGAACTGCGACCGGGAGCCAGTAACGAATCGCTGGAACACGGTGACGATGTTAGCTTTGGGGAATTTGTTAAATATCTGGTTACTCCAGAGCTTAGTCGAGCCAACCAATCCGATTACAACGAGCACTGGGAGGTTATAGCCAAGCTGTGCAATCCCTGTGTAATGAAGTATAACGTAGTGGGTGAGTTTCAATTTCGTATTGCCAAGAAACTATTGACTAAATGACGATTATCCCTGCAGGCAAATACGACACTCTGCTAGACGATTCCGCCTTGGCCTTGTTTTTGTCTAAAGCCAACAATCTAACATTCCCCACCGGCCACAAGCCGTCGAGCACGCGGGCCAATCTGCGCACCTATTTCGATCCGCTGCCAATCGGCGCCATACGCCAGTTGTACGAAATCTACGAGGAGGACTTCCGGCTCTTCGACTATGCATTGGACGACGTCCTGGGCTTTGAGTTCGGATGATATTGCTCTCTCTATATTTCCAAGTCACCACCATAACGCTTTCCACTGGAAAAGATTGTGATCTTAGGCTAGGATTCGTAGAATTTAGTGCACTCCAACGCGAATATTAATTTTAATATATATACCTCCCCGCGCACAAATGATTCCAAGGGTTTCGATTATAGGTATTTTTAATGTTTGTTTTCTAGGATTAAGTTAAATTAGGTAGGAACTATGTATTTTGACATGATCAAAATATGTCATCAATTCGTAATGTAATTGATCAAATAGCATTTGAAATAAATGTCAACGGTTCGATAATCTTAATCCTAATCCTATTATATAAATTTAATTTTATAGGTATATGTTAACCGATTTTCAAAAATCTTTTTTTTTTTATTAAAACCAAATTAATTACTCTAACCCGATTGCGGATGGGTAGAATAGGTCGCCAGCTGTTCAAAACAGTCTTTCTTATGGCTTTACCTCTAATTTTGGCCAAGTTACAACAAAAGGACGCTTTAGAAATTTTTTTATTTGACAAATTTTCAAAAACCGAAAAAAGCACCTAAAAAAATTGGTTTTTGTATCAAAACCTTGGGAAAAAATGGTCACCAGATGGATGTCATATATCGCTGAATTCGTCATTAAATTGCTAATCAAGTGGCATTCACAGTTAACAAATTTTTCATTTTTCAAATTTTCGCAAAAAATGATGATGTACCCCCTTATCAAAAATGCAAAAAATTTGTCATAAAAGTAATTTTACAAAAAATCGATTTTGAAAATTCTTTTTTTTTAATAAAACCAAATTAATTGCTCTAGCCTGATTGTGGTTGCTTAGAATAGGTCGCCAGCTGTTCAAAACAGTCACTCTTATGGCTATACGTCTAATTTTGTCCAAGTTACAACGAAAGGACTTTTTCGGATTTTGTTTTTTGTCAAGTCTTTTAAAAAACATAAAAAAAAACACCTAAATAATCAGATTTTTAATCAAAACCATGATAAGTAATAGTCAAAAGATGGAATGTCATGCATCGCTGAATTCGTAAATAAATTGCCAATCAAATGGCATTCAGTTTTCAGTTTTTGAAATTTTTGAAAAAAAAATTAAAAATTCAAAAATTGGTCATAAAATTAATTTCGAAATGTCTCCTTCACTGCGTTACAAACTTCTGACCAATTTAAAAATACTCTCTGAAAGGGTATAATAACCGACAGCCTATCATGAAAAATCGCGAACTATTTACTATGTGCGTGCACTTTTCGCTTTGAAATTCCTGCACTTTGTTATCAGTCGAACGTTGATAGCATTGCTTAGAGAATACTATTTTGGTCTTTCAAATCTGCCTTTGATTGCAAGGAAGCTTTCATGTTTTCGTCAGCGCAAAATAAAAAGCTCAATCAACTCGACGGCGTCGGAGGTTGTTTATCACTAAGACATGAACAGTTGGTGGTAAGCGTGTGCTATATGAACATATATATATATAAGGGGCGACCCACGATCAGCGGTCAAATGAATTTAAATACGCAATATTGTCAATAAGCGAAGGCGAGACGGCGCCCAACGCATTCGGGGAATGTTGGCAGACGTGGCAAATACTTGATAGATGCTTTTATCACAGCGACATATCCGAAACAAGCCTAGATAAACAAGCACTTGCCAGGCCCCCTTCCGGCGGAATCGATCCAAGGTCACCGCACAAAAAAGAAAGTAATCATCCATTTGATAGATTTGATCCTATCACCGCTCAGTAAGGACTTTTTAAAATATAACCCAGGAACTGTACCAAAAATATATTTAAGAACATTTATGTTCTATTCCTGAAAGCAAAATTGGTTGGTAATATCATAAAAAAAAGATTTAAAAGCTAAGATATCAAACATCATATATAAACTTTTTTCAGATTTGTTTACGTCCTTACAAATCTGTTTGATATTGTATTTCTTTTCCAGTGCCTCTTAATTAACTTCGCTTCTGTTATTTTGGTTTATTCAATGACTGCTTCGTTTATTCGCTACGTCCGTTTTTCGTTTTTTTTTGGTTGTCTCAATAACAAACTTAAAGTTAGACATTGACAAGACATTCGAAATAATTATTGTGTGTTTCTTGGGTTGAGTTTGTTTTGGCCGAACAATATGCATATATGTATGTTGTATTTTTGTGTGCGACAAGCAAGGCAAAACGTATCATATTCTCACGATTCCCTCTTTCGTACTCCCCGCTCATCAGTCCTTGAATTTTCGTCACGATTTCCGCATCGCTGCCACGCCTTCTTTCCGATCCGTCCCGTTCCGTTCCGCCCGCTTAGTCATTGTAGCTGTAGCGCTGCTTAACACTCCGGTATTTCTTTAGGGAGTACAGGGCCTCCACTTCCTTGGCCAGATAGCGTCCTTGGGCCAGCAGGGCCACGATCTTCTTAGGATCCTGCTCATCCTTATGGTTCATGAAGGCATCGTGGATCTGCTTCCTGAACTTTTCCGGCCCATTAAGGCCGGGATATTCGCGGCCCAAATACTGCAACTGCAAGTGTTTACGCAATGTCAAGTGGGGCTGGCCGAATAACTTATTTTTGGGTGGGGGTGCACGTGCCACCCCGCCCGGAAGGAAAACTCCAGAACTTACGTGCTTGTAGAGAGTAATGACTTTCGAGCGCAGCTGTGACATCACCAGTGGTCAACGGGATTTGATTGCTTGTTAAATGCAAGTTATCAACTAATTTGCAGCAGGTTTTCTTGGCTTTTGAAGAGTTTATTCCAAGCGAAGTGAATCACACGGCTGTTTTAAAGTAGAGATGGAACTGATGATTCTTCGATACTATCGATTGTCGTGGTAAAACAGCTGTTGTAATTGCCATATTTAGTATTAAGTGCCAGAGCTGCCAAAGTTGCCAAAGTTGCGCTGCCGTAAAAGCTATATTCTGGCTAAAAATGGGTTAAAAACTACACTTCTACTTAGTTAAATAAGAAGCTATATCCAAATGCAAAAAAAGACAACTAAATAAACTATAGGCTTTAAAATGACTGTAGTTCTATAAATTCTAACAATTAAAATTTTAATCTAAAGCTAGCAGTCAAAGTCAGAGACTTTTTTCAATCCGTTTTTATCAGACGTTGTCAGCAAAGTTATAGAAATCCAATACAGGAATCAATTAAAACACAAGCTAATACTATTTTTTAGTGTTGGTTTTTATTAGGAACCAAGCAAACCCAACCTTTTTCCAACATCATTTCGAGCCCATCATTTCACGAGCCCATCTCTAATCCCGTTTCCACTATCGCACACAGAACGGCGTTGCCAGGCCGCCAAAAACAACTACCTGTCCATCCCTGGTCGGTCAGCTGTGCGCAAAGAAGAAGAACGATGGGAGTGTTTTCGTTCGAGGCAAAATTATTTTTATTATTTTCGCGATAAACAGCAAGCAGTTGACGAGCAAATCTAGCTTAAAACGCGACCGAGTAGTTGCAACTCTTGCTGTGATAAAAGGCAGCACGATGCCTCAATGAAAAAGCGTGAGAAAGAGAAACGAAAATTGAGACACCCGCGACCTCCGATACAAAGTGGGAAAAATCGAACCTGTATGCGTGTGTGTTTTTAGTGATAGTGTGTGTAGAGTAGTAAATTTAATTTAAAATTTAAAGCTGAATGTGGATAACCAATCCATAATATGTAGTCAGCGATCGGTCCGAATATGAGTGCGGCAATGAGTAATCGATAATCGCGAGTGCGAAACTTGAGTAGCAGCTAAAACAACAACACAAACAACTGCCAAGCAGCAGGAACACCTAATCCGCCCGCCCACTCACGCACACACACACACATTAGCAGCAATGGAGGCGTTGGAAGTGGAGGACACCAGCGACGACAGCCTGCCCATGGGATTCCCAGAAGTGGGCACCTGGAACAGCACCCACAATGTCTCCCTGAACGACATGAGTCTGGATGCGCGCATGGTGAGAATGCGCTTTAATATAGATTGCGATACACTAGTACACATATCATGAGGGCACATATGTAATTTGATTAATAAGCCTGGCATGTCAGTGAATCAACCGACAAATGGCTTTATCTCCACGTTTAATGGTCGAAGGGAGAAGCGGAAAGCTTTTAATTCAGCGGGATTTGGTCATTGACACACGCTGCCTTCTCGTTTCCATTCCTCCCCGCTTACTCCCCTTGTCACAGATAAGACTTCTGGATTCTGGGCTGATCTATAGATTCTATAGCTGAAAACAAATTAAAGGTTTCTCTTCTCGGCGTTTTTTTTTTATTCTAGGGTGATCTATTGCCTCGACAGCTAAGAACATATTTATTCCTTACTTCCTTTTCTAATTTACAAAAATTTGGCTTACTTTCTTAGCGTTTAAATGAATATAATCGAGAAAACACACAATAAAAAACCTAAAACCATAGCACATGATATTGATAAAGAATCTAAACAACAAATATTGAGTTTTAATCAATTTTATTAAATTTCCATTGTGCATCGATTATAATAAAATTCACACACCATTTATAAAAATTCAAATAAAAAATTAATGCATTTTTCAAGGCTAATACTGGTCTTTTATGTAATCACTTGGTTATAAGTTTCATTCAGAACGTTTGCGAATTTGTACTTACTTTACAGTTTAGACTATAATTCCACATGCTATTATTCAAATGAATGAATGTAGCTGATAAGATAAGGGGCTTTTGCTAAATGTACAATATTCTTGATCATATATTTTGGATCATCCGCTTCAAAAAAACAATTTTTACTTTATGTTACATCCAAAGGTATAACAACGAAGTTGTTAAATTTTTATAGACAGCTGGTCACGTTTATAGAGAAATCAAGTTTGCTTATTTTACAATTACGAATACTACACCAGCTGTGGTTAAAATTTCTAAAAATCTTTCCTTAAATTATAAAATTATTTCAAATGGTATGGCCAATCCTTCCGACCGAAATCGTATCGTTTAAGCAAGCATAGGCTTTTTATTCAAAATTATTCTGTGGTATGTTTAGATTATTTTGAAAACTCGTACCTTTCAGTCTTTCTTTTATTATAAACGATTTATTTATTGGATCTTCGATGTCCAACGTTCATTGCAATTTCACAATCGCTCGTAGACTTCACTTTATTAAAGCAATCGTAATAAAGATCCAGGGCACAGGCAAAGCAACGAACACGAACGGAGTGCCAGAATCGCATAAGTAGACAAGAAGGCTATCTCCAAATCAGTCACGATTCAAAACTTGTTTTTACCACACAGTCGTCATATAAAATCATCAAAATTTTCATAATTCTCCAAGCTATTGGGCATTATTTGTCGTGGTCTGCACACGTTTAATTTAAAGAAGCATTAAGAAGCAGTCGTCGATGCATTCCTTGCGATTGGTGATCCAGTGCCTGGCCACGCGCCAGGCCCAGATAATGACCCAGATGCGCCGGGCCAGCGGGAGCAGCAGCTTTCCGGAGCTGGTCTTCCCGGACGACCAGGACATCGAGCCGGAGGACGAGCAGGACGATCTGGAACCACTGTATCCGATTCTGCACAGGCGCCACACCGACCTCTTTTACATGCCGCACTGCGTGGGTCCGGCGTACCAGGGTCTCATCTCTCCGGTGGATCAGCCATATGCCAGCGCCTACTATCCGGCGGACGCACAGGCGCTGGTCAAGGGGAGCGATAGTGTTTCTGGGTCTGTGATCCCGCCAACCGACATGTGGGTGGTGGCTTGCCCCAAGCTTCTGGTGGAGTACATGCGTCGCCTCTTCCTGCATCCGTTCTCCGGGTTTGGCAGTTCGATGAACTTCAGCTTGATTGGTTTGCGATTCCAGGACGTCGATGCCGACACTGCCCTGCGCTCCTTTGTACTGATGGCCAGCTACAATTCACGCGAAATTATGCACAACGGCTACTGGGCGGACTTTGTCAATCCGCTGACTGGCCGCGCCCACTTCCGAGCCGCCCACGCCAGCCGAAAGAGGTGCAGGGAGGCCCGGCTCCTCTGCCGCGGGCTGACCTTTACCAACGCCAATGGCTGCACAGTAATCGAGAAGGAGGAGCAGGGCGATCAGTTCACCGGTTGCATCTTCACGGACACACCCTGCAAGGTCCTGGAGTCGTGGTGCTCGTAGAGGATCATGAGCTCCACGCCAAGCTGCCCCAATTCCATGTCTCAGATTGTGCTTGCACTAAAGTCCAGTTGAGAAATCACATTCCCAACCCCACGAGGCAAAGTTCATAAAAATTTCACGTAAAACATTTTGGTCATATTCATTTTGCCAAAGTTTATGATGAACATTTCAAATCGGATGTTATTTATTTTACTAAACACGATTGATAAAATTTATGTTGGATTGTTCTTACATTTCGCCAAGGATGATAAACGGATGAGAAAAGAAGCTGGGACGTTTGAGGATTTAAATAATATTGTTTTTATAATTTTGAAAATAAAGTATATAACACAAACAAAATGAATTACTCTTTTGTGTCTTATACAGTCCAATTCTTTTACTAAAATTGTTTAATTTGCCCTTTGATCCCTTAAAGTCGAAAGTGAATGTAGCACTTAAACAACGATTAACTAAATTGTGGATAGGGGTTGTCACTAAAGATTTTCAGAGCTTTTAATGTCATAACTTTTCTTGTTTATTAGTGTTATACTCCATACAGTTGTAAAATGTTTTTTAGAAACAACAAACGAGTTTGTAAATCTTTACATACATTAAGATAATTATGATGGGTTGAGTATAAAAGCCTAAATATTTTGATTGGCAAATAATATTTATACATTTATTCTTGAGTCTTAATCAGATATCTGCCTTTTTAGATATGGCTGCTCGCCTCGCTGCTGACCACGATCACCTGGGTGACTTACATCACCTTCTACAATTCCCGTGTGATTGGGATGCTGATCACGAAGATCGCCAACCGATGGTTCATCAAAGGCGCATATTTCAAGATCGGATCGGTGGCCCTAAATCCGCTAGCTGGAAAGATAATGTTTAGGGACTTCGTGTATATAACTTATGACTACACGGTGCGGGCGCAGGACGGATACTTCATATTCCGCTGGTGGCGCTCCTACGTGCCCAAGGATGTCTCAGAGGGTGAGTGGGCATATCCATTATCGAGATTCGATAAATCCCTTATTTCATAAACCTATTTTCCATAGATCTTTCCCACTCGGACACCCGACTTTCGGTCCAACTGAACGGCTACGAGCTGCACATCTACAACAGATCCGATTTGTATGACACGCTGGAGAAGACCTTTGGACTGGAGCCATCGCTGCTCATACCGACGGACGTGGTGAGCAATGAGGAGAGAAACAAGCTAAAGGAGCACCACATGAACCTGGAAAATGCGCGACAGAGCCAGAGAATTCAGAATGTGAAGAACTCGGAGGCCATGCAAGCTACAACCTGGCGGGATTTGATTCCAGTGATCAAGATCGACGTTTGCTCCGGACGCTTTGTCTTTGGCAACCGATTGACTCCCACTACTCTCTCGATTTCGGTGGAGGAGGCCCATTGCACCTACAGTACGAAGCCAGCTGTCTGCAGGTTGGATCATTTCATGCACTTTGTGAAGGCCAAAGTCGAGAATGCCAAAGTGCTCTTCTGCCCGAGTCCCAAGTACACGGGTTTGATTGATGAGCCACCACGATACATGGGCGAAGGCTTTGTGGTTATGATGTCCAACCAAATGGATTTGTATTTCTATATGGACGAACCGGGCGTTGTGCCGGAGCAACCTGTGCAGATTGTCCTGCCCAACGGTGATGTGGTAGAGCCTTCGCCTCCAGTTTGGGGCATCAATGCGAGGTGCCTCAAGGGCACGGATTTCAGCTACGGACCCTGGGCAGATCGGCAAAGAGACCACCTGTACAGGTACTTTTACCCTTCGGATTGGAAGGAGGCGGAAGTTACGCCCACTCCGCAGCCTGGAGAGTTGCGCAGCTATCAATCCTTCGATGTGACCTTGTGCGTGCTCAATGAAGCCACCATTGACATACTCTTTTCCAAGGAAAAGGAGACGAACGCAATGCACATAACCGTGGGACCTGCTTCATATGTAGAGGTTACCATTCCCTGGGTCACCCAACCCGATGGTTACACTTCCAAGATCCAGGGACAGCTCTTCCACGTGGAGGCAACCACTTCGCTGCAGTACCGCAGCCTGGCGGAATTCGAATCGCTAGAGTACAAGGTGCGAATCCACTATCCCACCAAGTGGAATGCACCACAGGATTGGAGCATCTCACTCGCCGGCTGCAAGACGAGTGCTTTCATCGTGTACAAACATAAGTGCTTCTTCCAGGACCTCATTGAGGATTGGGCCAATAAGGCCAGGCCGGATATACTCAGTTTTGTTCCATATACCTGCAACTTCAGCATTCGGCTGCACGAGTTCGAGATCCTAATGCTGTGCAACGAGTACAATTGGATCGATTGCAGCAGTGCCAACCAGGAGAACAACCATTTGGCCTTCTGCGGAGATGTTTTCGAGATGAGTTTCGCCCTGCCCTTTGATGATTTCCTGCCCAAAACGGTTACCCTGAAGTTCTGGATCCACGGCGAGGGCTTGGACTTGAGCTTGTACGTGCCGGAAGTGTCCTCGGTGCGTCCCATTGTTTTAGCCATAGATGAGAACGCAAGACTGCTGACCAGGGAGGGCAAGCTCATCCGTCGCCCGGAGTTGTACTCGAAGAAGTGGCGCAAGATTTGCCAGCGCTCTGCCGGTTGGATCGACTGCTGGGCAGTGCCCATTTTGGCGCTGTCCATCCAGTATGTTTATCATCCGGTTCCGCCGTTGGGACCGGATCCTCAGGCGGATATCACAACGCCGGAGAAGGAGGAGATCCTGCTGAGTCCCATGCGGATACCCAAGGTGCGGAAATCACCCGTGGGCAACTGGCAGCAGCCACCCGAGCAGTACAGTAAGTTTGATCCCGGTACATTGGCAGCGGATCACGTTACCGTGGAACTGGAGATCGGTAGTTCCGTTCTGATGGCCTATGGCAATGTACTGCGCAACTTTATCAACCTCAAGGAGAACATATTTGGCGAGGATCAGAACTTCACCGACATGGAACAGTCGAATGTAAATATAAAGGAGCCCGGAGCGGCACAGCTGAATCCCAAAGACCAACTGCTGGCCAAAGAAAAGGAACTGGCCAACAAATCCATTTCGGAGACTCAGGCGCCCGAGGAGAAGCGCAAACCCTTCGATCCCCGTCTATATCGACCCCTGGAGGTGATGGTCTCTGTGATTGTTCATGACATTCAGGCGCATGTGATGAAGAACTGCAATGAAGACGATCCGCCATGTCCAGTGGTGCTGATTGAGAGATTTGGCTTCGAGATGAACAAGAAATATCATGAAACCACACTGCAGGTGCTAGTGAGTCCATCGTATTTGCTAACCTCGGACTGCCTGCCGCGTTCGCAGCGAGAGAAGCACCTCAACCAGGGTCACCTGATGCTCTCCGCCGTCCAGGTGCGCGGACATGCCATGTTCAGCAACGAGGGTTGTGCTCTGGACGAGGATACGCTCGAATTCAGCTGGCTTGTGGAAGTTCAGCTGGGCAAACTTACGGGAAAACTAACCCTGCCACAGCTGGTGAATGTGGTCACAGGTCTGGAGACACTCATCCTGCTGGCCATCGACCCTGAAAACTGTTTGAAGTCACCCAAGACAGTTAGGAACTGCCATCACGGAGTGCCCAGCAATCTATGCCCTCAAACCAAAGAGGAGAAGAAGTACAAGTGTCCCTCCGCCGAGGACATAAAATACAAAATGACGAGAGTTTCGGTGGATGCAGTGGATGTCTACCTGATAGAGAGTGGCACTGCTCTGCACGCCTGGATCTCGCCCATCCGCTTGGCCAATTGCAATCTTCATGGCCAACGTGTCAAATCGGGGATATCTGGCCTGCTGCCCTCCATTCTAGTGCGCCTATTTATGCTGCACACGACAAACTCATCTTTTAACACCAACACCACGGGCAGCAATCGGTCAGGTAAACTAAGACGAGCGGATCAAGACTCTTTGAAATCTCAAGATGCCGGGGGATCACACTATGGCACGCACGGAAAGACGGGCAAGCGCAGCTCGAACTCCTTCTCTCGCCGAGATTCTCGAGAGGAGGCCACGCGAAAGCTGAGAGATAGTTTCTCGGAGCCACATGCCAAGCGAACACCGGAAACATCAGAGCTTTGCGAGAATTGGGTCGAGGTGGGCTGCACTTCGCTGGGACCCATTTTGCTGGAGGGAGCATCCGCTTTGCCCATTCCCGATCATGAACTGCATCTTGTGCAGCACAAGTAAGAATGAAATTAACTTATACTTACTTACTTATTGATTTCTAAACTTATACTAATTTATTTCCAGTTTCTTGCGTGAGCACGATGCCAAGTTCAAGCGCCTTTGGTTCCTATGGTCCCATAATGGTAGTGCCCTGTCCTCCGGCAGTGAGATCTCGCGTTGTGGTTGCATCGGTGGATGTGTCTTCTTTGGAAGCAATAGAAATGGTCAGAAGTTCTTCAAGCCCACGGCACAGGATGTCCACGATAACTACAACATTGCTCGTTACTTGTGAGTAGCACATTTTGAATTTTATTTTTAATTTTTAAAACCCTAAATAAATAATATAAGTTTATAAGATAGTAAATATCACAGCCGTGAGTCATTTCTATTATCAACAACGGTTTCCAATTCAAATCGGTTTCAGTAATTGATATCTCACAAAAGAGGTTTATCAGTTTTTCTTGTCGTTTGTGATTAGCGAAATTACCAATCAAAATTAAATCAGAATTATCAAAAAACCTATCAAAAAATTGTGATGATAAATAATATAGTGTTTTTTTTGTGCTTGTTTTGAAATTTTAGTAATGCATAGGTTAAAAACATTTGTGTAAAATTTTTTAAGCAATTTTAATAATGTATATTCTTTATTACAGCATTATCAACAACAACAAGGACTTTGGGTTCGGCGAGAGTATCCTCCACCAGGGTCAACTAGTCTTCCACACCCCGCCCTACAGTCTGCACTGCGTTTCGCTGTACGACACAGCGGACTTTAATGGCAAAGGCCGTCTGTACAGGCCGACGGGAGATTTGCGCAACGGAAGCCTCAAAAAGACGGATCTGTGCTCCCTGCCCGATGGCACCAAGTTCAAAATCGGTGCAAGTGGAACGGCCGGCGTGGAGAAGCCGGAGCCGAGTTGTCGGAATAAATCCAGAGAGAGCATTGGATCTCCAAACACTTTGGAAAGGCGGAGCAAACGATATCCCTGCACAAGGCAGACCTCCGTGGAGGTGCCCTACGCTCGCCTGCTGGACAGTCCATCCAAAAAGCTGCAACAGCAGCACGAAGCGTCTGCCGGCGAAATGGGAAATGGTCTTCGCCGAGGATCGGATTCAAACAGGCTGCGAGTGTCACCGCCCAAGACGAGCATATCCGACTCCAGACTAACTGGAGATGTCCTGGATGATGAGCATGAGGTGCGGGAAGCCCTGATATCTATTATTCCACTTAAGCTAATATCTTTTCTTTATTCCTTTGCAGATACCAGACGAGATGTCACACTCGGCCCCTCATTCCCATCCCTTGGAGTTCGAGATTGCGGATATTGCACTTCACGTTCAGGGATTAGGAGGAGATAACCTGCCGCGCGAGGTGCAGCGCACCATATCGCTGACATCGGAGAATCCCTCGGAGATGTTCTTCTCCGCCGAAGAGGACATATCGAATGTGATGTCGCAGCGAGGATCCATGAAGCAGCGAAATAGTGGAAACAGTGGCTCAGTGGTGCTGTCTGGAAAGAAACGATTTTCATCGGATTTAAGGTGAATATATGCAAATTATTCTTATTTAAATAAAAAAAAAATAAATAAACGTTTTGTTTTTATGCTTAGCATTGGAGCCCAAAACGACAACGGGAGCCACACATTGCCAACATATCGCAGCGATCTGGAGATCCATGCTCCCGATGGCAACAAAACCCTTCCAAAACGCCCGCAGAGCACCACAGAACTGGTAAAGCTTATAAATCAAATACGCCAATCCTTGCTAGGTCGATTCACTCGGTGATTGATGTACACCAAGCGCGATTAGCTTTGCTGCTTTAAAGCCAAGTTTATAGTTCACTCTGATTTTCACTAAATCTAATATCACCCAAGTATTAATCAAGGTGTCGATGGGAATCCATTTCGAAAACTTATTCGATTCGAGTCTATTTCAGTGCATGCTTCGCTCTTTAAACATAAGTCTTTCTATCCAATTATTATATTCATATATACTAAAAATAACTCTTAAGCAGCGATTTCTCATTGTCTAATTGTAATTGAATTCAAAAATAGACATTGAGGAACCGTTTCTAAATCTGTAAAACTGTAAACCACTCCTAAATTCTATTCCTCTCCTCAAACTCGATTCATCTACAATCGAAAACGAAAATCAATCAATGAACTAACCAAAAATCGATATAAAAACCGAATCCTAAATCAAAACTCATCCAGAACGAAGACGCTAGACGCATTCACGGTCTTGCCACACCAATAAGAAAAATAACAAATATCTCATCACGACCTGAGTACCGACATTTTGTTCATGATGTGAGTAGTTCTTAGTACCAACAACAAAAAACAACAACCAGCCTCTTCTAACTAACAAGTAGCGCAACTAAACCGAAATTCTATCTGCTAGTTAATTCTGAACAATCTAAATGTATCTGTAGATCTATCTTACTTTGGTACTTGACCCAAAAATTCCTAAAAAATGTTTAAAATCTGGTCCGGGAATCGGAATTTGCATGAAAGTTTAACAATAGTGCATGTGTTGTTTATTGGTTCCAAACTGATTTAGAGCTAGTTTTAAGTTAATAGTGTGCACTCTTAGGCCTTAACTTGTTCACAAAATATATTCGATTTCAATTTTATTGGTCTGTTTTGGTTTTCAATATATCCTAGTTTTAATTTTAATTAAGTTTTGGTTATTATTCCAAAGACCAAAACAGACCTAGATCTTTGCTGCACTTCATCATGGACTTTTCTCACGATTTTCTGCTTGCGCCCTTTGATCTGGCTATTTTATTTGTAGCAGCCGAAAAGAAACCTCGCCTTGCTCTATATAAATTCATTCTAATCCCCTAATTTCCTATTCATTCGACAGGCTGATTCCCGTGGCTCATCATCTGGCACACCTTCACTGTCTTCCAACTCGTTTATATCGGCCATGTCGTCGCAGGAGGATGTGGCCCTGGTTAATCTGCACCAGCAGGTCAACAGGCCAATCATCGACTCACCACTGCTGATGGCCAGCTACCTAAACCACCTGTCGCAGGTGAAGTGCTTCAACTGGAACGGATGCTCCTTTCCCCTGGGTCCGGATGTCTTCTCCACGCCCCTTTTCTCTGAGAACGAAGACGGCGGATTGACCTATATTGGCAGCAAGATGGTTCCCCACTTTGATCTCTATTCGTGTTGGCGGGAGATTAAAGTGGTCCCTCGCTACGAGAACGCCACTGGCAGCAACAGCTCGGCCACATTTATGGGTGGACCCAAGTCGCATCCCTGGGATCCCAGTGTGCTGCTAAAAGAGGAGGAATCGGACAAGACCACCAACGGCTTTGATGACGGGGAGTTCATGAGCCTGCAGGCGGAAGGTGGAGCGGCCTGCACATCGGTGGTGGCCAGGCTAAAGGGGCAATTGAATGTCTTCCTAACCCCGCTCCTGCTGGAGGGATTGCAACGGTAAGTGATGATAATTTTTTCAAAATATAACAAACAGTTTAAAATTTTTGCTATATACGGTCTAAGAAAGAGTTCAACTAAAAGTTCAGGTTTTATCAGGGCGTAAAAATGATATTTATAAAGTCCATGAATCAAAGCGAGAAACATGGAAAATAACAAAGACGCAGTATTTCGTATTTCTGGATTATCAATTTATGGTTGCTTATAAAATATACAAGGCCAGAAATGAATTAATCATTGAGACGAAACAAAATATAACTCAACTTCGCTTGATGCGCAAATGGGCAAGATTGGAAGCTCTCAGCCCTGCGTTGTCATCGATCTGTCCACCCTGATCTCGCGGGAAAGAGTCCATCAGTTTCTTTATGTATGTTTCTTTGGAGTTCTAATGGCATGCAAATATATATTCATTTAGGAGCTATGTGGTTATCAACTTACTTCGGGGGCATCATCAGTTTCTTTATTCTCTCGCTTGCTTCTTTTGTATTCCGCCTCTAAATTGAAATCCTCCATTGGACCGACCTCGTCCTCCTCAGCTAGTTTTTCCAGATTTAATGCTTCGCTTTGGCTTCTATCCTCACGTAATCTACGGTCACCACGATCGTTTTCACTTTGGATGCATTCGTCCTGCATTTGAATTAAATAGCGAGGCGGATCGCGTGCATTATTGGCAATAAAACTATGACTAGAAATAGTTACAACAGTTTAAGGAAAATAACTTAAAGGAATTTTACCCGTGGCCATCAAAGGAAGATTCCTTTGTAATGATCTGCTTTTTCTCATCGACATTGGAGAGCTGATAGCATTTGTTGGAATCGAGAGGAGCTGGTTCCTCTGCCAATGGTTCTCTTTCCACCCGTTTGACTTCCTCCATATTATTTTCCAATACTTTATGGTCCCGATATATCTGCTGATCTCCTTGATGCAAACTTGCCTGCTCTCCATAATCGAATTTTGCCCGATTATCCAGATCCAAGTTTATCTTCTGCTCTTGCTCAAAGTTATACTGATTTTCTAAGTCAAAGTTAGCCGGATTTTCGTCCCTAAAATTACCGTGATTTGAAAAATCCAAGGTGGCTTGATGTTCGTGGTTTAAATATAACTGATTTAAGTTAGCGGGTTGTTCCCGTTCCCGCCCAAAATTTGACTGATAATCTTGATAAAACTTGGCCTGATCTTCCTGATTTAATTGCTCTATATTTTCCGGCTCCAAATTATCCCGCTCAAAATTTGACTGATAATCCTGGTATAAATTAGCCTCCTCTTCTTGTTTCAATTTGACTTTATATTCCTGTTTCAAATTATCCTTACTATATATTTCCCTGTCTTCGTGCTTCAAGTTTTCTTCATGCTCCTGCCTAACTTTTTTTTGATTATATATTTTTAAGTCCTTTAAGTTAGCCTCATAATTCTTCTTTATATTTGATTGTTGCTGTTTTAAACTGATCTGATTTTCCTTCTGCTGGTTGGATGGATTTTCAAGCTCTGGGTTAGTCTCTAGCTCTAATTCCGATTGATGATCCTGCTCTAGGCTTGCATCATTTTCTAGCTCAAAGTAAGTCGGTTGCTTTTGCTGAGCAGATTGCTTCAAGTTTACCTCTTGTTTGGGCGTCTTAAGAAACTCTAAATTTAAAGTTTCATCAAGTGGTTCTTCCTGATCATTAAAAGCGGGTATTATTCCCTCGCCCAGCTGCTCATGCACTCCATCTTCTTGAGGATTGCTCATAGCCGCCTTGTTTCTGCCCCGCTTCATGGCGTGGCACAGGAAATCATTTGCATCGCATTCCAAGTCATCCGTTGGCTTCTTGTACTTCTTTATAATTGGCCTCGGACTTTTTGTGGTATCAGTAATCAGATCATCGTCCATACCTCCACCCGATTTGGGCTTGCAGTTATCTGATGTTCGTGGAGTGACATACGTTCTAGAGGTTTTCGGAACGCAAGTGGTGGTTTTCTTAACGCAACGCGTGGTCGTTTGGCAGGTGGTCCGCTTGGTGTACTGATTTGACTTGGTATCATCCAAATCCTCGTCATCCCGGCAGCCATCATCGACAGCTGCTTCTTCGGAGGATTGAAGGACTTGCTGCTTTGTGTGTTTAGTGACCTTCGCCTGCCTTTTCTGTGCTACTAGACTGGCTTGCTTTGAAATGTTACAGCCGGTGACTTGTATTTACTTGTATTACTTACCGTCTGTGTCGGCGTTTTCATTTCGACTGATGTGCTCGTCGAGCAGCTTGTTCAATGAGTTTAGATCATCCAGGGTAAGATCTTCAAGGCTTAGCTGAACCTCATCGTCGGTAAGGCCATTTGTTAGATCGGGATAATCGGCTGGTTCGGATAGGTGAGCAGGGAGAGCACTGCGTTCCTGGAAGTTGACTTGTGATTGCTGGAAAAACAATAGCGAATTGCACTCAAAAAATGCTTTTTGTTTACTTACCACAGGGTAGGCTTCAAGGAATGCAGGACTAACCCCGAAAAACAACCAGATCCCAAGTAGTAGCATTTTATTTCAATAAAAAATAAAATATTGAACTTGATTTCGGTAGTATTGCTAAGCCTTCTGAGATATTATGTGTATGCTTTTCCCAGTCACTCCTAAATTAATATATGTAAATAAGAATAAAATAAGTTTTTGCACATTTAAAAAAAATACACAATTTATTATAATCTTAAAGGTGTTCTTTGAGTAATATTTCAACGACTACTTTGTCAACATCGAATTGTTTAACCCTTGCAGGAACTGATTCGGTGGTCAACTTCGTAACAGAAAGTCATACGAATTTCCTTCGATTAGATTGCAACTTATTTAAAACCTTAGACCTAGGCTATGCATAAATTAACTCTTGGGCTTGGGGGCTATCTTTTTGGCCAGAGCCGTCTGTTGGTCGTTGCTCTTCTTCTTGGGCTTCTTGGCCTTCTTGATGCCGTCGACTTTCACGCCCCGATACTGGGACTTCTTCTTCTGAGACCCCGTCGCCGCTTCCTTGCTCTCCTTTGACGCCGATCCGTTCTCCTTTACCTTCTTCTTGTCCAGTCGCTTCTTAGCTCCCGCCGAGTTCTGTTTCTTGGCCTTGGTCTTTGAGGAGGTGCTGGATGCTGCGGAGGCGGCAGCAGCATCACGCACTTGCTTGGCACCCAGTTTCTTGACCTGATAGCGTTCCACGTTGATGGGTCTGTCGTCCAGAACGGTCTGATTCAGCTCCAGAGCCAAGCCCACGGCATCGGGTTTCTGGAAACACACATAGGCCACGCCCTTGCATCCCTTGTCGCCGTCCTGGAGGCAGCGAATGTAGTCAATCTCGCCGCAGCTGGAGAAGATTTCGCGAAGCTTCTCCTCGTTGGCAGCTGGATGGGTATAGTTCTGGGATTAGAATTAAGTTTTTACAATAACTAGTGCCTTGGCTTACAGTATTTCAGACTGCCCACGAAAATGGTGCGTTTGGCATCCGCGTCATTGGGCTGCTGATCCCGTCCCTGTCTATCCGCCTTCGCTGCCGGTGTTACGCGCAGATGATTCTCCTTGAACTCGGAGCCATTGAGGGCCAGAGCCTGCTGTGCAATCTCCGGGCTCTGGAGCACCACATAGGCGTTGAGGGAGCCGGCTCCCTTGCGCTGTTTGTGCTTGAAGAGCTGCTTGCCACCGGCGGTGCGCATGCGGATGGATTGGACCACTCCGTAGGGGTGGAAGAGCTTCACCAGCTGGACACGCTTGGTGTTGATGGGCAGATTGCCCACAAACACGGTGGCAGCTTCGTCCGCGGGATTGCGTTCCCTCTTAACACCTTCTGTGGGTGGTAAATTAAGGGGTTAAGTAATTTATAAATAGTTTTGTTTGCACTGCAACTTACCTTCATTCTTGTTGTTGGCCTTGGCTTTCTTGGTCACTTTTCCCTTGGGGTTTTCCTTGGCAGCCGACTTGGCTTCCGCTTTCTGCTTTTTGGCGGGTTTTTCCTCAACTTTGACCGTAGTTTCAGGTTCTTTCTTGGCTTCTTTGGGTGACTGTTTGTTCTGCTGCTTCTTCAGCTTCTGGGCCAGCTTCTTGGCCTTCTTTTTCTCGATCTTGGCCAGGTCCTTCTCCGACAGCTTCTTGGGACTCTCCTGGACGGCGGCCTTTACCTCCTCCTTGGGCACTTTCACCGCCTTCTTTTTGGGCTTGTTTTTGGCCTTCTTGACCACTTTACCCTCCTCCGCCACGCCGGGCTCCTTCTTTATCGGCTTTAATTCAGCTTTTTTCGATTCTTTGGTCTTTGGTGTTTTCATTTTAACTCGATGTTTTTTCACGTACACGTGTGGTATCGCAGTGTGACCGCAGCTTGAACGTTGAAAAATACCATGGAGCGGAAAATAATGTACTGTAATCGAAGTATACTGAGAGCTGTTATAAAAATATACCAAGTAAAACTGTTATATATTTTGTAAACTATTCTTATTTTGTTTTACTGGATAAAATAAAATATAAGTACATTTTAAAACCAATAAAAGCAAATATAATATTCTGTTTTAATTAAGAAAACAAAATAAAAATTATTTTTGAAAACATTGTAATAACAAAGTGCCATTAAAGAGAACTTAACATATTATTAGGTAAAAATCGTCTTTAAAAAGAAAAGGCTTTAAGTTAACAATTCAAACTTTCAATATTCTGTCCGATTAAAAGAATCTTGTTTTTTATTAAAAAAAATTGCGGAAGGGATAACATATGAACTTGATAATAGCAAAAATAATTAATTTATAATTATTGATTATAACCAATCACTTTTTTCTAATTTATTTTATTTTTATTTAATTTCCAGAATGGTGGAGGCCGCCGTCCCAACAATCCAATCGATGCACCTGCTCTCGGTGGTGAACTTCATCCACACGTCCTGCATCGCCAAGGTGAACAACGACAACATCCTGAAGCGGGACCAGAGCCTCAGCTACTGGTCGCAGGTGCACTCCAACTCCAAGCGATCCACAACGGAAAGACACCTCCAAGGACCCGGCGATTCGTTCCTCAGCGATGTCTACGAGGAGAGTATCTCGACCAAGACTCAGGGATTGATTGTGCTGCCGAAAGTCAGCATAACCATGCTGCAATCCTCCATTGTGGAGGAGGTCATTTCAGTGGCGGCGTTGGATAATGTGCAGGTAGGGATTTAAAGCAAGAAGTAATGATGTTCATAGTAAAACGAAATATTCTCGACAGGATCTGAGCTGCGTCTCTCTGCTCACCTTCTACATGGAGGGTATCTCCACCAAGTTTCACCTGGGCAAGACGACGCGCGCCTCAATGCACAACGTGTATATCCAGCAAACAGTGCAGTCGGGCAGCAGCAACAAGAAGGGTGGCATCATGAAGGGCACTCGCGCCCTGTTGGCGCATCTCTCTTCGCAGACACGACCTGACAATGTCCAAGGGGAACCCATTCTCATCGAGACATCGGAAAAGCAGTTGGAGGAGCTGGTAATCACGCTGGACATTGGGAGGGCCCATGCGCAGCTGCGACGCCTGAAGACCGAGGGCCAATCCTGCGCCCAGGAGTCGCCCATCATCGTCACCGCCATTCCGGAACACAAGAGCAAAGTGCTGTTTGAGTGCCTCAAGATGCCGGAGAGCACGGGCATCGAAAGCATTGGCTACATTATGTTCGAGTGTGGCCTGGAGGGCGTGGGTGTGAAGATCGTGAAGCGTTCGCACTTCGAAAAGTCCGAGAACAGCAAGGAGGAGCTAGCCGAAATGGCGGGAGCTGGTGCAGCGGGTGCCACCACCACCGGAGGCTTCAATCTCAATGATCTGGTGGGTCAGGGCGATGGGGCAACAGCTGCCGGAGATGGCGGAGCCACCTCAAAGGCTGAGGCTGCCTGGAGACTGATCACCAAGAAGCCTCCCACTCCCAAAACTCCCAAGGAGAAGTTCCAACCTGCTTCGGACAGCAATATTGCAGCGGATTGCTCCTCTGCGGCTGAACAAAGAAAGTCCACACCCAAACCCCCCGATGAAGATGTGGAAAAGGGAACCAGTACGGCAAACATCGCGGCAGGAGCTCAGAAACCCACCGCAGGAGCAGGAAACAACTCCAAGGATGACTACGACAAGGTTCTGTCCAATGTCAAGGAAACAGACAAGACTTCCTCCTGCGTGATTGAGCTGAAGGCGGTTTGGTTCAACTTTGCTGCCCCCCCTTGCGTGCCCATCACCCGCAAGATCGATCTGACGCGACTGGATTGGAACCTGCTGAGCACTGCCTCGCCGGCAATCACGGCATGGATGAATCCCAGCAACCGTCTGGCCATGAAGATCGTATCCCTGATGAAGGTCCTCCACACAAGGCAGACGGCAGTGGCAGCTTGTCTCATGGCGGAAGCCATGGACAACGAGAAGATCCAGAGGAATCCGAAGATCAAGAAGGTAACCAAAGAGGTACAAGAGGTTTCTAGACTTGTTGATCATTTAAAACAAAGCAGACCATTTATACTGATTTATTTATAATGATATATATCTGGCTTTATCCGCAGAGTCGCTATGCCAACAACTATACGCTGCTGTCCAAGACGCTGCAGGAGGATCCCAGTTGCCAGCTGTGCTACATCATGCAAAAGTTGGTCCTGGACGAGGGTGTTCAGCGGATTGAGCCGATCTTCAAGCAACACGACGTTCCACATCTCAACACTCTGCGACAGGTGAGTGGGATAGCCCTACAAAATATGATCTAAATGTAATTCGATTGCCATATTCTTGCAGGGCATCATTGTGCTGAGTCGACAGTGGAAGAATACGCTTTACAATCCCATTCTGTTCGAGCACCAGTACAAGAACAAGCTGGCCCGACCCATCAACGTGACCTTTTCGTTCCCGCAAAACGAGGAGGAGGCGGAGATCGACGAGTGCGAAGGTGATGTTGAAATGGGCGCCTTTGCGGGCGTCGGCGAGAATCCGGAAGAGAGTGAGAATGCATTATTACTTGGGCAAACACAGCATCATCGAACTCACATTGGTATTTTTTTGATTAACGCTCTCCTGCCCGCCGCCTGTGGCGGGTGGTTATCTCCTTTTAACCTAGTTATATGTATAGTTATAGACTCTTTCTATATATCCCCCTTTCCCGATTGCTGCACGTGTTGATTGTTTGTTTTGTTAACCAAGTTCAGAGATTGTGTCCGCGAGTGTGTGTGTGTGTGTTGCTTTGATCTACCCTCTAGTTTCCTCCTTTTCCTCTTCTCTATGTAAATACTTTACACAAATGTTATCCACCGCTTTGAGTGTTCACCACTTCATATTGTTTGATGCTTTGCGTTTGCATTATACCACAGAACAATACTACAACTCTTCTATCCTTTCTGGCTATTTCTATTTCTATAACTATATCTATGGAACCAAAATTATACTTAAGTATGTTGTACACTAAACGAAGAATCCTTTTGCCTACGAATTTACATAGATTTACTTGTAACTATCCTATTTCGTTTAGTGTAGAACTTCCCAAGAAGAAGAGTGCTTTCTTGAAGAGTGCTTGATTAAAATTTACAACTCTCCTTTATTTACGATTCTTCCCTGAATATCCTCTATAGAAAACAATCAGTACGGGGGCACTTCCTATGGTCATGAAACCGGAAACCATGGAACCACCTCCCAGCGGTCGACTTCCACATCGCCGAATATACACCACCCCCGACGCGGGTAAGTTTTAAATGTCTGCATGCTTATGCCCATTAGCACATCTCATTAATGTCATGCCTGTGATCTGTTCTTCTCTCCAACAAACATTCGTGTGCATCAGCCTAAATAAAGTGCACAGCAAAGCATCGAATTATTCACATGGCAATTCATCTCGTTCCAGCATTCAAATGTTGCCCATTATTTCCGGGCTAGTGGAGAAACAGGTTCCAGAATTCGGTAAGTATTATGTATATCTAATTATGTCTGGAAATTATTAAATATGATTGATTACTTGCTCACAGAATATGGAGCTTTGCAGGAGGGTTCGTTGAGCTCTACGAACTCGGTGAACAAGTTCTGGCTGGGAGCCGAGAACCACAAGGAGGATTTGTACTTTTGGATGGCCAAGCAGCAGGACAACAAGAAGAAACCCTTTGCCGAGAAGGAAAATGCTCGTCCCGCTCCGCCGAAAATGCACGGGCAGGCAGGACAAACACGCAGTGGCATCATGCAGGATTCCATCAAACTGCTGGATGCCCATCTGATCTTTGAACCACTGCTCACTTGTTTGGGTGTGATGCCGCAGCAGATGATCAACAAGTTCTCCAATGCGGACATTTCATCGCTGGAAAACTTTGGCACCAATCTGTCCCTGATCGGAACTTTTGATTCCATTCGAGTGGACATTGTGGTCAGCGAGGCGGGTGACAAGAAGAACTCGGCCCAGAAGCCAGCCAAGCTGAACAAGAAATCAAATGGTGGCAGGGCCTCTATAATGATGGAACATCCATTGTTCCTATGCGAGCGAGTGGGTGTGGAGTTGGAGGTCCTGAAAATGTCCGATGGCATGGTGGATCAGGCTCGCCAGAATGTCATCTATATGTCGCGTCGCCAGCTAAAGAAGCACACCAGTACGGTGATCAATTTCAGCCTGAATGTGAGATTCATATCGCAGCAGGTGAATATGCCGCTGTTGCGACTGCTCCATCAGATATGCAACATGTATCAAAATGTAAAAGATGCCCAGAACGAGTTCCACGACCATCCAGAGCTGAGCAAAAAGAGCCAGACCAAAGATGAGTGCAGTTTGGGTAAGGAACTTGTATATATTATATATTTTTTTGCATCAACAAATCACTGAATTACCTTTTGCTTATTACAGCATCCGAACCCACGGACATTCTGCCTTTCAACTCGGTGTCGGAACGCTTTGGGCACGTTGAGAACTACTCGGACGAACGATATGACAAGTTTAATGAAACAATGCCCACCACAATGCTGGCCAGACCGCGTCCTGGAGGCGTGGCACCCATCATCCAACTAACGCCGTCTCCGAATGCGAAGAACAGACCACAAAGTTTCGCCCAGAAGCTTCGATCGACTGGGAAATCGGTGAAGGGCAAGCTGGGCTACACGAATCTGAATGAGTCCAGTTCATCGCCTCTGAGAGACAGTCCCACCATGTCGCTCCACGAACAGAACATCCTCAAAATGTCGACGGAGTCGAAGGCCTCGCTGAATGGCGCTTGTGCCACCAGCGTCAGTGGGGATTACCAGAACACACTGACCAAGGCGGGAATGCCAACGATGGCGCCGATGCTGGAGACGCCCAACTGCTGGAAGACCATCTACCACCTGTTGGAGCTGTACGGCACCATGCCGGAGACCAAGACGGTGGTGCAGAGGAGCTCCATGAACGAGCACAAGAGCAAGCCCGCCGGCTTTGCCCACGACGAGGATGACTTGGCCAGTGCTCCAACGCCGCTGCCTCAGCACCGCGAAATGCTGCTGGTGGATGCACCCTCCCATGAGCGAACGCGTCTGATTGTCTTCGGCGTGGCCAAGATTCACAAGACTCGACTGCTGGCCACGCTCTCTGGCCTCAAGCTGGAGTCGGAGATTACCACGTTGAACAGCACGGCCACGTGGAGGAAGAAAGCTCGTCCAGTGTCCTTGGAGTGCTCTCTCACTGGCCAAGTGGGAAGAGCCATGATTGTCCTGCTCGAGGGAGTGGCTCCCAGTCAACAGTAGGTTTCATATTGCTTTAAACCTATTATATCTTATATCTTATTACCTTTTTGTTACTTATTTAAGGACCGTGGTGAAGGTGACGGTGGGCAAAAGCCAAACACTTTACTCAAGCCTCTCCAAGCGGGGAAAGGATAAGAACAGTGGCCTGCTTTCGATTGGGGCTGTCAACATAGACATTCCGCAACATCCGGTTGCTCTCCATGGAATGATGACGCGCAGCTCCAAGCAGCTGTCTTCCACACTGCAGGAGCTGAGAGTGAAGCGTAATTCGGGTCGATCCACTCTGCGTACGCACACCGCCGAGGAGCCAGAGTCGCCGTTCCATGCCCGCAATTCGGGAGGAGCCAGCAGCGGCACTGGAGTGGCCAGCGAAATGCGAGAGCGCACTGTTTCCGGCGGAGCGGGAGCCCAACAGCAGCCGCAGCAGGCGGCTCGCCGGGCAGCCCACGTGGCGCAATCGAAGATGGGAACGGCTCAGCACCAAAATGGATTGCTCCAGCCGCTTGTCATGCAGTTCAATGTCCTCCTTCAGAGTCTGTCGATCAATGCGGCTCTGCTGCCCTCGCTGCAGGCCCAGTATCGCATGAACCACGTCAGTTCGATGGGCGTGACCGGCCAGCGGGCCAAGTTCGTCATTGATCTGCCCACGCACACGCTAAGCTTTAATACCAAGATTCAGGTGAGTTTCAAATGCGTTTATTAATTAATATTTTAAGGTAGAAAGTAATCAGTCAGACTGATTGTCTCCGCACAAATAAGATATGTAAAAGCAGTTGTAATAGTGCAGTAGTCTCAAGAAAAGAGTATTTTGACAGCATAATTGGATAAGAACGGGTTAAGGAAGCAATTAAATTGGCTGAACTTCCTTCTTGAGCCAGGCTAGAGTAAACTCGTCTCCTTCGCGCGACAAGATCGGTGACAGCGTCTCCCAGACTTGCTGATGGTAGCTGTTGAGCAGCTTCACTTCCACCTCCGATAGCAGCTCCTTTTTGATCATTTTAGTTTGCTTCGGGCACATGGTGATTGTCTTGAAAGTCAGGGCGCCACGGTTGGCAAAATTGTGAGCCACATGGGCGGCGGGCACGATTTGAACAATATCCTCGACACGAATGCCAAATTCGCCATCCTGGTAGAAGCCAGGCTCATTGGAAATGAACATGTTTGCCTGGAGACCGGGATCGTCGGGCATCAGGCGAATTCCCACGCCCATGGGACCTTCGTGAACGTTCAGGAAGTGACCCACTCCGTGGCCAGTGCCATGGCCGTAGTCCAGACCCACGTCCCAAAGGGCCTTCCTCGCCAGGGTGTCCAGCACCTGACCCTTGACCTTGGCCGGGAAGACGGTGGAGCCAAAGCTCAGTTGGCCCTTCAACACACGAGTGTAGGCTTCCCGCTGGAAGTCGGTGGGTTCGCCAAAGTGCAGGGTCCTCGTCACATCCGTGGTGCCGTCCAAATACTGAGCCCCCGAATCGCACAGATAGATTTCCGTGTCGTTGATCTTCCTGTTGGTCTCCTCCTTCGGGTGATAGTGGATAACAGAGCCATTCGGCCCTGAAGCACTGATTGTGGTGAAGCTTAGGCCCATGTACTTGTCCTTCGAGGCACGGAAGGATTCCAGCTTATCGGAACCAGACATCTCGTCCACTTGCACACCTCTCTTCACCTGATCCTCCAGCCAGGCGAAGTACTGGCACAGAGCAACGCCATCGCGAATGTGGCTGTTGACAAAGCCCTCGATCTCCACGTCGTTTTTAATGGCCTTTAGCACGCAGACGGGCGTGACCTCCTGGAAGCGACGTGACTTGGGTATCAGGGCAGTTAGATAGTAGCTGCTGGTCGGCGCAATCCAGATCTTCGACTCCTTGGTCGACACAATCTTGCTGATTTCCAAGCCAATCGAGGCGTAGGGCAGAATGGTGATCCTCACATTGTTCTCCGTTTGATGCTGGGCAAAGTCCGAGGGTAGTTTGCTGGAGTCCACACAGAGCAGTAGCTCATCGCTGGTCACAATCAAGTAGGCGAAGAACACGGGGTTAAAGTCGATATCGGAGCCGCGAAGGTTCAAGAACCAAGCGATTTCGTCGAGCGCACTGACCACCAGTGCATCCACATTCTTGTCCTTGAGCTGCTTGCGCACCACCTCCCACTTCTTGGCGATGGTCACGCCGGAATGCTCCAGTTTCAGGGTGATAATCGGGTTGGAAGTCTGCGCCGGCTGATCCGCACCCCAGACCTCGTCGATGAGGTTCCTCTCAATGGGCACCAGTTGGCATTCGGCGGCGTTGAGCTCCGTTTCGATGGGTTTCCAGACGCGGAACGAGAGCAGCCGTGGATCCACGCCCACTGAGCTGCCCCGGGGCAGATTCTTGGCCAGCCAGGCGCCAATCGAGGGCGTGGTGGTCAGCCCGTCCTTCATGAGCACCCAATTGGAGTCCAACTGCTTCTCCGCCTGCTGATAGTACCGTCCGTCGGTCCAGAGCAGGGCGGAATCGGTGGTAACCACCGCCGTGCCCGCGGATCCATCGAATCCGCTGACAAAGGAGCGCCGCTCGTCATGCTGGCACTGGTACTCCGACTGGTGGGCGTCATCCGAGGGCACTATGTACGCCGCTATGCAGCCGGAATCGCCCGGCTGGGCCCGCAACATCAGCTCCCTCAGCCTGGCCAGAATCTGGGTGGTGCTCCGCTTCATCGTCACTGGAAAATAACTGTGAAATAACCACACAGAACTCAGTAACTCTAGTCAGCTTAAGTCGATAAGATAATCAAACGCAATCAACGTAATCGCGTTCTCGCTCTCCCATAAATACATAAATAATCGGGCACATATAAGTGTCACACTCACAGCGGCTGTCAAACTATTGTTTAAACTACAGGGTGCAATTTATTTTATGGCCGCCTACTTTTTTTAATCTTTCTGCAATGACACATTAAGTTCTGCAACTTATCACTGGGCAAAAATGCTGCCCCCAAAACATGTTTATATCTTATCGCCTTCTGGCTTTTAGTATTTTTTGGCTGCTTTTAACATACGGTAACACTAACAGCTGTGGGGCTTAAATTGAGGCGCGAATTTTTAAATCATTTCTAGCTAGTGTATATTGTTTATTTATTAATACAATATTTTTTTTTACAAAAAAATGCTTACTAAGTAAATGTTTTTATACGAAATAAGTCGGTAAAATGAGCTATGTAATTTATTTACTTTAGGGAACATCCTTATTACTACTTTTTTTAAGAACTTACAGCTTTTAATAGTAGTAGTTTTCTTTATTTAACATCTTTAAATTAAACCTAAATACAATTTCTTAAGAATTGAGAGCTTTTTAAAACGATTTTGTAGTACTACAAAGGGTTCACTTAAAATGCAGTTAACACCTGAAATAAGGAGCTAAAAAATTATTAAAAAAAAAAAACAGAAAACCAAACAAATCTACAATTAATTAAAAAATTAAAAAATAATAAGTAACTTACATTTTTTAATAATCCTCATTAGAACGAAATGAATCTGCCATCGGAGGCTTGTATTGGCCTGCCACCTGTTCACGTTCTGGCGGAATACATTCCGGATCACCGACAGGATCACACTGAGAACGTGGAGGGCATCGTGCTGCGTCAAGGTGGCTATGTGAATGCCAGTGCCGAGATCGGGGAGTTCGAACGCTGCCTGACCACGGATCTTCTCAACCATCTGGTCTTTGTGCAAAAGGTGTTCATGCGAGAGATCAACGAAGTGCTGCAGAAGGTGTACGGAGGCGAGAAGCCCGTGCCCCTGTGGACAGAGGAGAGTGGCGATAGTTCCGGAGCAGTGCAGGAGTCCTCGCTCAAGCGCATCCTCTTCTCCATTAACATTTCGATGAAACGCATCCAGCTGACGGCAACCACTCCCTGTTCGTCTGCAGTTCGTTTCGAAACGGGCATCCTAGAGCTGCAGCTCTCGAATCGCGTGAAGAACTTGGGCGATATGAGCAACCGGAAGCTCTTCTTTAAGGCGCACATCGATTTCAATCTATCCCTGGGCCAGATCATACGAAATGTGATCTTCGACGAAGCAGAACCAGAGTTCCAGCAGTATGCCTTCTTCCACACAACCATCAACTTGAGGAATGCTTTCCAGGACGAGCTGCTCAACGAGGACAAGGAGCTGATTCTGCTGACGCTCAAGCGACCGCTGGTCTATGTCCAGCCCATTGCCGTGGACAAGGCCATCCTCGTGTGGCTCAACTACAAGAATGCCTACGAGTACTGGGCGGAGAAGAGGGCGAATCTGTGCAATGAGCACACCCAGCACAGCCAGTTCGGCCAGTATTCGGCACAGCATCAGAGCCAGAATGCGCAGGTCTTTGATCGCGTTGCCTTCGGCCAGATTGCCGGCTCCAACCTGTCCACGCTCTTCCTGCAGCTCACGGTGGAGGACATGGGCATTTGCCTGCCCCTCAAGCAGGTCAACACCACGGTAAGTAACCATGTGGACTTGTGATTAGAATACGATCTAAGCATCAATCCATTTTACAGACATTTGGTTCCCGTTCATATCAGGACTTTGATGCCAAGGGTGCCGTTGTCATCACTCTGGAGAATACAATCATCTCGGCCTGCAACTCGGGTGCTTTGGTGTCCAAGGGCAAGTTTCAGGGCCTGTGCCTGCGTTTTGCCGACGACTTTGAGACCAATCTGGATGACTGGAAGCCCAACGGTGCGGAGCCCATCATGAACGTGTGCGTGGTGTCGGAGGGAACCTTCGAGGTCTGTTCCCGCACCACGGCCGCCAAGAAGGGGGAGAACGCCAAGTGGCTGCTGAATGTGAAGTGGCAAATGGAGGGTGTGGACATCCATTTGGATGTGAATATTGGCAAGCAGCTGAGTTCGCTGGGACACACGCTCACCATGCTCACCGGCTTCGAGGAGGATGACACCCAAATGGAATCGCCCGACAGCGATGAAGGCGATCAGAGCTGCAGGGATACGTTTGTGCGGAGGAGAGGCGACTTTGACAACTTGCCAGCGTTCGTGTTCGATCCCACCATCGATTCCAAGCAGCGTTCGTTCATGATGGAGAAGGAGATGGCCGAGCAGCTGAAGATCATCAACGATCTGCGCACCCTGGGGGCATCCCATAACACGGTGGCCCACGAGGAGAGGCGACTGCAAGAGCTGCAAGCCATCTGCTACAAGTACTTCCGCCGAGACATGATCCAGAAGTGGAAGAGGCCGTCGCTGAGGAGATCCCTGAAGAACTACGGTCGTTCGCATTCGTACATTGGAGCGGGATCTTCGGTGACGGGTGTAGGTGTTCCCCAAACCTTGGACAACGGCAGCTATGCCGGCAGGAGGCTGGACACCATTGCCTCCAACGATGAGATATCCAGTCTGCAGAGCACACCCGCATCCTGTCACTCGCGCAGTGCCTCCCTAAAACACACTGTCGGAGGAGCTGTCATCGGAGGAGGGATTAATGCTCTGGGAAGAGTGACCTTCACGGAGGCAATGCGCCAGACTTCGCTACCCAATGCGGACACCGACACGGAGACGGCGGACAATGAGCTCGATTGGAGGGGTGACATCACGCCCAGCGAGATGGATGTGGATGGCACCTCCGTGGAGATGCGACGCAAGCATGGTCATGGTCAAAAACAACCGGAACCGAACATCGACTTTGAGCTGGACATCAAGGTGCTGGTGAACTCTGGCAAATGCGTGCTGCACACCAAGGACACTGGCGAGGAGCGAGCTCAGGGCTATGCTGGTGGATCAGGAGCAGCTGCCGGCGGAGTTCCGGCCTCGAGTGTGAAGTCCCATAAGCGGGAACGGAGCATTGGCAACGATTGGGGCAGTCCCACTCCGTCCAGGCGGCAAAGGGACAAGAGCAAGCTGCGCTACAATGCCAACGCTCTGCTGGCCGATCTCACCATCTTCCACATACCAGGTCTAGATGTGAAGCTTCACTACCAATCGAAAACACTGGCGGAGCAATTGACTGGCGACCAGGTGCCACACGGTCGCCGTTTGGGCAGCAAGCGAGCCACGCTCTGCGCCTGGATGACCCTGCAAAGTATCCCGGAGGAAACGATCATATCACCGCATATTCTGGAATTCCTGGAGCAGACTCTGGAGCCCATTCCCGCCCGACAAACCAGCAGTGTTCCGCCCACACCCTCCCACAATGCAGCCGTTAATCTGGACATACTGCCTGCCAACTATGTGACTTATGCCTCTTTTCCCGTCGATGTTATCGTTTACTTCCACATGCAGCCCTCTACCTTCAGATTCAGTTGTCTGCCAGTCTCGAGGGTGGAATGCATGCTGCAGTTGCCCAGTCTGGACATTGTGTTCAGTTCGAAGCGGAGCAGCGACGAGGAGAACTCGGCACAGGCGGGAAATCATGCCCATCCCGAGCAGCAGCTGCCCACCGGTGGGCTGAGTGTCACTGGTTGCCTGGCCGACTTCAATGTGTTCATCTTCCATCCGTATGGCGGCAAGAAGACCTCCAAGGAGACGCAGTTCTCCCCGCTGAGCGACAGTGAGCGGAAGGATTCGCTGAGCATCAACGTTGAGTTTGTCAAGTTCCACATTACGCGCTGCAGAAAGGTCTACATCGAACCGTCGCCCAACTCCAAGAGATCCCTCGATCAGTCACGCGCCGTAATTCGATTCTCTACCATTGTGGACATTGGTAGTGCCAGTTTCAAGTACGACATGCGCCGATTGACGGAGATCCTGGCCTTCCCCAAGGCTTGGTACCGCCGGAGGATCGTGCGGAGGCTCTTCCTGGGCGATCTCAGCGTGCAACAGCAGCAACAGCAACAGCAGCAGCAGCACCAGCAGCAGCAGGGAAATGGATCAGAAACACCTACTGGCTGTCCACCTGCTACTCCAACGCCCACTGATGGTGATGCCAGCAGGGCCAAGGATAAAATGCGCCTGGATTTTGACCCGCAGCAGACGCAACAGCAGCAACAGCAGCAGCAGCAACTGGGTCACTTTGGAGCTGTGAGAAAACTGAAGAACCTGGGCAAGTCTTCCAGCGCTGAGTCGTCGGGAACACCGCCATCGGAGAAGAACCAAATCACTGCCTGGGAAACTCTCGTGATATTTGCAGTCAATTTCACCAAGCTGAATGTCCAGATGAACATTGGCAATGTGTGCGGCAATGTGGTGTGGCTCACGAAGGACTTCCAGTCGGACGGACGCCTCTCCATCGGCAGCACTGGCTACAAGAACATGTATGCCGGCATCTATCTGGGCGGATCAGCGCTGGACGCCAAGGGTGGCATAGTGGGTGGCAGTTTCGAGGTGAACAAGATCAACAAGCGATTCCACATTAAGGAGGAGGCTGGCATGGAACCCTACCACACCTTGGGTCTGAGTTTTATGGCGCTGGAATTGAGACTGGACTACATGGGCACTTCGGTGCTGATGACGCGGATCAGCAGCTTCTCGGCCGCCATGAAGGACGAGTGGCGCACTGCCTCGCAGGCGGCAGCAGCTCCCTCACATGGCAAGGATCAACCACGAGCGCTGATCTTTATCCATGGCGATCTCAGTTGGGACCAACTGCAGATCATGATTAGCAAGTCAACGACAGCAGATCTGCTCAAGATGTACTTCAAACTGGAGGAGTTCTTTACGCAGCAGTTCAAGTCATCGAAGAGGGTGTTCTCGAGCCTGGAACCACGCCTCCAAGATCGTACGGCCAGCATCAAGAGGCGTCAGCAACTAAAGAAGAAGCCGGCGAATGGAGAGCTCATGGCTCCTGTTCAAATTCACGGTTTGATTGGCGAGAACACGGACGCACGGCACCATCGTCACTGGCAGAAGCCATTGGCTCAGGCCGTGGGTCTGGTGGTGCCCTCACTGGTGACCCGTCTGCCACGCCATGGCAATGTGCTGGGCGGCACCGTCGAGCTCCGAGGGCAGAACATCTCGCTGGCCTGCTTCCATGGCATCAACTTCAAGT